AATGCCAGGTTTGATTAGAGTTAGACACTGGAGCCGCTGTTGTATACTGTTTATGCATTTACACTCCTAAATTCTGTAGGCAATAATCAGATAACGCACCCCTAATTCAGGTGCACCACTGTAGCAGGTTGGAAGTTCTGTTACACAAAAACATGTGACGCAAAGACTTTTGACATTGAAAAACCTTCCTCCCGCTATATGAAAGGTGTTTTCAATGTGGAGAGCAGGTGGAAAATCCTACACACTTCTTTAAATTTACTTGACATTTTTGAGATTGTAGCCCACAAATCCAATGTGAATGTCTGAGTTGATTACACCCGCAAAACACAGTTTACTCAGATCGGATTCAAATATCACGCACATGTTTTCAAACAAACACAAAGCTCCTGAGTGGGTGGGACTTATTAAATCATGGCAATACAAAATGAGTCAACGGATGGGATTTGCTTTCTGTTGGTGTCCCTTAGTGTCCAGATGTTCTCCTCCGATCATCCTGACTGTCATGTGATAGCCTCGTGTGGCTGGCCCTACCATCTTTTGAGGGCTCTTTCATGCCATGAACAGCATACTTGACCAGCATCTCACTCTTCAGTGCTTGAAGCAATAACATGGGTTTTTACTGTGTGAAATATTTCTATTTATCATTGAGATGTCCATTGTAGATGGTGGTGATGGTGAGGGCTAATTGCAGGTGACCTTTATGTAATGTACAGGCAGGCACAAAGGCAAACTGAGCCACTATGTCTGGGCATTTTAAGAATATCTTTATGATGATGCTTATCATTCCTCAATGTTTTAGGGAAAAAAAAGAAGATAGCGCTACTGTACATGTACTAGTTATGTTTGAGGAGTGCTACTGTCTTTGACATACTTGATGGGGTTGAAACAGAGGGGTGTGTCACTGCATGCACATGTTACACATGGTGACTGGCTTTCCCAGTCTGCTATTTGTAAATGAATAGCCATTATAAGAGCCATTTTTCAAGAAACACCATTTTAGCCTTTGTAAGACTAACTTAGAAACAGCTGCTCCGTTCAAGGTCAATTAAATCATTGTTGTCCAAAAACATCATTTCCATGCAACAGTTTTACTAGTGAACTGGTTTAGAAGCATTGATGACTTGACTGTAAATTGCCAAGAGCCATCAAATGCTGTATCGATGGACACTCAATACCTGAGAAGTGAGAATCACTCCAAAGGATACTTAATGTGCATGTTTTAGATACACAAAACTGTTTTTAACTCTGAATAAAAGGTCAATATTTTTTGTGTGGAATATTAGCAATAATGTGAAATGTTTTACCTCCTCAGAATGAGGGCTATCATCATGTGTGGATGTACAAGAATGAATGCTGGAAACAGCATTGAAAATAAGACATGCCTGTAATATGTATCTACTGTACACACTCCCTCGGGGCCACTGGGCCTTCAACTTCCTGGCTCCCACTCTGAAGCATGTCTTGACCCACACAGTCAGATACCCGTCAAATGCTAATTCTTGATTGAGATGACCAATTAAAGAAACAGGATTAGAATGAATAAATATACAGAAGCAGACCTCAGTACCCCCCCCCACACACACACACACACACCCATATATATCAGATTGGACCTTAGATTTGTACAACTGCATGGCTGAAATTAAGAATTGAAGCCATGGGCATAAAGTGTTCTTGTATCCAGTATTTGATTACCATGTGGATTCAGTGTTGGAGATACCGGAGACCCTTCATGGTTTTTTTTTTTTTCTTTTTTTGGTGTCCTTCTCTAATTCACACATACGTGTACATTTTCAAAGATCTCTTGAGGGCTATGAAATGTTTGTCATTACTTTTTCGTGTGTTTGTTTGTCCACCCTCTAGTCTGTTGAAGTTGCATATCTCCTCTTATCTTCATATGAGATATTATGTAAAAAGTACGAGTTTGAATTCATGAGAATATTGCGCCTTCACTTTTTTTTGGAAAACATTAAACTTGAATTCTGTACATTTTGCCCCATTCATTTTCATTGCTCTTTCATTTGTGACTCTTTCTCCTTTTTCGAGGAGCACTTTTCCTGCATTCTCAAATCAACAATATTCCATTATTTACTAAAATAGTTCTCGTGCGTAATTGAAAAACATCACTGTGCAAAACCACTTGATATAGCAACAAATGCACCATCAATTAGATGTTTTTTTTTTCTTATCATAGTGTCAGAGCTCTGAAAGACCCAATGATGAGAGGACACACTGGATTCTGATACCAATCACTTGAGGGGGGAACGAGGAGAAGCGTTAGGTTTCAGTTCTCTGCACGTCACCCAGGAATCTCCCCGCTCGCCCTCTCATTTATTTCTCATTGGGAATCTAATACATGGCTGTGTCCAACCTCAAGGGTGAGGGCTGTTGAAGACACACTGAACTTGTTTGACTATGTGTGTGTATGTGAGTGAAAATTACCTACATGTGTGCAATCATTACAAAAACACCAAGTAGGTTGGTTGCAACTGGTGTTGACAGCTCCATCTATGTCCGACCTTGCTCTTGTTTTGTCTCATTACCTTATCCCTTCCCAACCACTTTCTCGGAAAGGTGGTTGCGTCCCTCAACGGTCACACAGTGCACTTAGCATTCTTTCTTATAAATGTGAGCATATCTTTATTAAAAGCATAAGCGTTCATTGCAGGCATAATCAATTTATCACTGCAGGCATAAGCGTTCTTCATTGCAAGCATAATCAATTCGTTAATAATATGCAAATGTATGATAACTAAAAATCATGATCAATTTAACACATGGTAAACAAACGAAAAAAATGTTAAGAAGTAAATGTGCATTATAAAGACTCACAACATCAAAGAAATAAGAGAGAACCAAAGGAAAAACTACTCCTGGTAATCACACACTTGCCTCATTTCATTTCCTGTATCCAATTTTACTGCTAGATTATCTCGATTTGATCCCAAGGCTGAGAATTATGTCGTGATGGGAAAATGAAGCTTCAAAATAACTTCATGTGAACCGGTTACATTTTGTCCTCGAGATGGCATGGTTGTTTTAAATAAAAGGGCTTTCAGAAATGGCAAGTTCAGTGTCCTTTTAGCACAATGTTGAACAGAGAGCCTTCATATTGAGGTGTCAAAAAATGTGATATACAGTAATTTGGGTTGACAGTCGCCTTCCGAATGAAAACACATCAATGCGCCCTGCAACAAATTGGTTTCACACCCTCTCATTGGGCAGAACAAAACCAATCTACTGGGACACATTAGAGTAGGCTATCTAATGATTTCACAGAGGAAGTTTCTCACAAATCCGATGTAGAATTTTAAAATGAAAGTCTTCTCAAATCTGCACACTGTATGTTAGCGTCAATATATGAGATTATAGAAAAGAAAAAAAATATATAGGTATCACTCTCTCTTCACAGCCAGTGTGTGGACGAGCGGCATTAGAGCACCTTGTGGGATATTTTCCAGCAACCGGAGGCTTTACGGGCGTTTATTTTCATCACTCAAATATGTTATAGTAGGCAGAAGAAAGATGACAAAGTAGCATCCATTCTGACAGGAGTGCGGGGATTTGATTAATAGATGGGCGCATTAAGCACGCATCGACTGGTAGCGAAGATAATATCTTGATAAATCAAGCATTTTAAAAAAATCAGGCGGATTTTTTTCAATCATTCAAATTTGCCAGTATTGTAAACACACTCTTCTCTGTGTGTTATATTTAGAAGGCAAATGTATTTTTCCCTCTGCAGGGACTTTAATTAAATATGTCATCAATGAATTCCAATTGGCTGCAACACATCTGTGTAATTAATTTCAATTCCCAATTTATTATGTTATATTTCATTTAAAGCACATTTGATCCCTTTGTCTTTTAACCCACTGTGATTTTACTTTGTGCCCCTAGATGGTAGTATTTTCGAGCTTATTCCTTTCGCTGGTTTCAGGACAGGCTTTGGATGACGTCAAACACGGAAGTACCGTACGCACTTCTATCTCAAGTAGCTGCACATTAAATAATACTTGAATGATTTCAATGCAACCCGTCCCAAGAGAATAAATGTCTCCAACAGAAGAGTTGGTCAAGCAGTGGGAAAGGTCAGTGTGTTTGCATTTTTGTATATTTATGTTTGTTCAATAATCCTTGTTCTCAGCGAGCAGTAGAACCACTTGTCACAATCCACGAGCTGTCAATACAAGTCTCTCTGTCAGAGTTAACAGTCTTAGTTTTGAGTGACACTGACCTCAGTCTCAATACCCAATATTTTGCCTCAACACTCTCACATGTAATAACCAAATTGTTCTGCATCGCTGTCAGTATTTTGCAGGGCAATTCAAACCAGTGGATGCCCAACTATAACGTGTAGTATTGTTAAATGACAACCTTGGTTTGTGTGAATCAAAACTGAGCAAGTGAGCTTTATTATCTTTTAAGGGAGAATTTGTACTACATATATTGTCACATTGCAACATTAGCACAGGTTTTCCTCATGATTTGACTGTCGAGTGTTTACCCCTTCACCCCTTTTCCATTCAAAAGGGGTAGTGGCTATAATTTAAATACTGTACATTGAACACCTGACTCACCTTCGATTAGAGATAGAGACCGAGATTCAGAGCGACTATTACTTTGGGTGCTAAATGCAGTTAAAAGGCAACTCAAGTCAAAGATTTTCTTTACATATTCTTGTAACTATGCACTTCCACTTGTCTAAACACGGCGTTTGTGGAGTGTAAATTCAGCAGCAAAATCCTTTTAGTCAATGGCAAGTGACAAGATAGCCCCCCTCAGTATGGATAAGGGTTGACAGTGGTCGACTAGTGAACACTTCTGCCTCACAACGCAGGAGTGCAGGGCTCAATTCCAGACCCCAGCCTTCCTGTGTAAGTTTGCATGTTCTCCCCGTGCCTGTGTGGGTTTTCTCCGGGCAGTCCTATTTTCTCCCACATTCCAAAACCATCCATGGCAGGTTAACGGAACACTCTTAAGTGTCCTAAATTGTGGAAATTAGCATACACTAGATGCTACTGTAATGAGAAACCTTCTAACAACAACTACTTTCACACACTCACAGCAGCAATACATACAAACAATAGAGCTGCATACATACTCGCACACATCCTGTATGTTCTCTGTGCTCTTTTAGAATGATTATTATTTCAGGACTAAACTATATCGGTTAAGGTCCTCTGTCTCTTCGTTTGGCTGTTATTTACGCTGCATCTCTTCCAGTCTATCTCAATGCTGCCCAGCATGTTGCGGCATGATGTGGTACCACACTGAAGGCCCGCAAGTCTAAATATGACTTGCCTGCACACTATAATAACCATTAAAGAAAGCGCACATGTGCCAGTGATGAACTGTGATAATGCGGGCTTTACTGTACATGTAAAGTGTAATGTTTAGCATCTGCTTTTGTTGCCTCAATCTTCTATAATGTGTGCAGTGAGCAAACCTGTCTCAGAGAGCAGGTGGTGGTGGAGGATACGGAAGACTGGCAGAAGAGCCCAGACTTCTCGGGACTGGAACGCGTTGCTGGACTGGACCTCTCCTTTATCAAAGGTGATGACGTCAATGCCTGCTCCCAGCTCGTGGTGCTCAGCTACCCTGATCTTGAGGTGAGCTGTGCCCACTCGCCAAAATAAAACCAGACTTTTTAAATCGCCCTTGTAATCAGTTAATAAACACATGAAACACATCTGTGCATCCTTTGAAACACATTTTAAATTCATTATTTTTGTTCAAACCTTTTGGGAAGTAAAGCATTTCTTCGGTTTCATCACGTACACATGAACAGCTGAACTTTATTAGGGGTTAATCAGAGGCACTTAAAATAGTGGTGTGTGTGTGTGTGCGTGTGTGTGTGTGTGTGTGTGTGTGTGTGTGTGTGTGTGCGCGCCCGC